AAATAAATAAAATCTTTAAAAAAAAAAAAAAAGGGGGACAGAAGAGATGAGATGAAGTATAAACAGGGGTCAGGTATTTCATACAGACCAAGCAGCTAGAGTGAAGAACTGCACAAAAATCACTTGGGAAGGTACATTCCTGAAAAAAATATGAATTTGAGAACTGATTCATACAACCTGCCCAGGGAAACATGCAAACATTCTGAAATAATCTTACGATAACCCAATCCACCATTTCTTACCTAATGTTAATTTAAGACTATAATCAGGTGTGGGATGTCTCTTTCATTTAAAAAATCAAGTAAAAACACGTAATGTACTACGTCACCGGAGAAGAAAACAAAGCTGTCTGTCTGTCTATCTGTATGTCCGCCCACCCTCCCACCTTCTTTGCTCCTTTCAGAGATGTCTCTGAGTAGCCACTAGCTGCCAGGCTCTGAGCAAGGTGCAGAGATCCCGTGTATACGTGACAGAGGGGGTCCCCTTGTCCTCCTCAGGGAAGAGAAGACAGACACTGAGTGACTAACTATCCAAACAATTAACTACTGAGCGATAAACCCCCAAACTGAAGCCACTGCACTGGAGCTGACATCAAGAAGCAGTAGCTTGCTGCATTCCAGGGACTACTGAGAGAAAACCACACAGCTGACACCGGACAACAGACATCACGCTTCGGTGGCTGTGCTCCTCAAGAGATGAGCAACAGGGAAGGGGAAGGCCCAGAAATACAAGCTGCTATCAGAGGTTTCCTGCAGATGTTACCAGACCCCTTCAACTGCCCCTCAGCCATAGATGGGTCCCTCGCACAGTGGGAAAGGAACAGTGCCCAGGGTGTACCTGACAGCGATGGGCCTCTTTCTCTGGGTGCGTCTCCATTCTCTGAGCTCATTTTTCCGGAACCACTCCTGGCATGTTCACCGTTGGTTAAATCTGTCTTTTCAGGAGTCGTTGGTTTGCTCTGTGCCTGGCTCTGCTTCAAATGACTGAACTTTGGGGACACTGTTGCAGCTTGGATCACAGGGGACTGGGGTTTTGACGGGATTGGTCTTTCCAATTCTCTGGCCTCCTGCAACTATAAGGCAACAAAAAAGGGATTTAATCTAAATGCTCCCAGCACTGGGGTGCTTGGCTAGCTCAGTCGGTGGAGCCTGTGAATCTTGATGTCAGGGTTGTGGGTTCGAGTCCCATGTTGGGTGTAGAGATAACTTGAAAATAATAAAACCTTAAAAAAAAACACACAAAAAAACCTGGTCCCAGCATTTTGAGAAGGACCAGAAAATACGCCAGCCTGAAGGATAACATTTTAAACAGAAGAATAACATTTTAAAAAGGAGATAAATTCTCTTGACAAACTCAAAGCAAATTCCGAATGCTGATTCCAAAACCCAAGCTAGACTCTCT